AATGTATTACTTACGGTTAGTAGCTCAGCTTATTGAGAGTATATTTAGCATACTGATGATACTATGTAGTTTATACTTTAGCTTTTTACGTGGTTGTTTAGTTACTGCAGCTACATACTATTAACATTCATTCCCTTTATTAATGCTACCTCTACCCCCTCCCTTTGATGCTGCTAATCCTGCATAATGCATGGGCATAATATGACTTTGAAAACCCCCCGCCCACCTCCTACGCATTTCACAAGTAGCACTAGGCGCATTCCTGCATTTCCCATAAATATGCAAAATTCCTCTTCATATGCAAATTCTTTTGTCAAGGCGCTCTTCCTCCTCCCTCCCAGCTTAAATAGACGCTCCAAGCCTAGGACTTGTCATTCAGACTCTGTCTTATCGACAGACATGTTCTTCACCTGAGGACGGCTGCTTGCGTTGTGGCCAAAACGTCGTGAGAATTATTTTATTATGTTTTATTTTTATTATTTTATTACTTCCCTTCTACGTGACTTTACCAAAAGAACCAAGACGGTTGAAATTATGTCTGTGTTTGTATATTTGGATGGCCTCGTGTACAAACCTTTGATGGTAGCCAGGAGGCTTGCAAAGCACCTTAGTCTCGGAAAAGACAATATCATGAAAGCCCACAGCGTTGTAGCAATGATCGGCAACGGCGGAAGAATCAGTTTTGCCCTGCTTCAGATCTGACTTGTGCTCGCGGACACGATCAGAGATATGACGTTTCGTTTCTCCAATGTAGCAATCACCACAACTGCAACTCAGTTTGTAGACTCCAGGGTATTGTAAGTCAGGAATGACATCTTTCACAGATGGAATTAGATCACGGATTTTATGTACTGTACTGAATCGGACTTGAATCTTATGTTTGTTTAGAATTTCGGAGATATTTTTGGTCACGCCTGCTATGTATGGTAACGTGATAGTTTTGATCGGAGTTTCATGTGGCTGTTTTTGTATGGTGGGAGAAACAGCTTGGTGGATGGTGCGGTCAGAGTATCCGTTCATCCTGAGGGCCTGATGTACATGTCTTAATTCACTGGCCAGGTGGTGTTGGTCAGAAATGCCATGAGCTCTGTGGTATAGCGTTTTGATGAGAGAATTCTTTTGAGATGGGTGGTGGTGAGAATCGGGTTTCAAGTAGGAATCTGTGTGGGTGGCTTTCCTGTAGACAGAATGTCCCAAGGATCCGTCAGGTTTCCTCTCAAACAGAATATCTAAGAATGGTAGTTTACCATCTTTCTCCACTTCCATGGTGAATCTGATGGATGGGTGTCTGGAATTGATGTGGTCCAAGAAGTGGTTCAATGCTGGGAGGCCATGTGGCCAAATGATGACAGTGTCATCCACATACCTCTTCCACAGGTTTTTGAGATATCAAACGGGTACCCGTACCCGGCCGGGTACGGGTACGGGTAGGCCGTGAGTCACTGGTGAGTCACCGTTTGTCACTCATTTCCCAACGTCTTGTCTCTTCTCACAATTCAAGTTCCTAGAATCAACCCACCCGCGCCTGCAACATGGCTTCATCCCAGAGGTCGCAATCAGGTACCCGATACCCGTACCCTACCCGTACCCGGCCGGTTGCTTTGTCGTCTTTCATTGGCTTCACTGTAGTGCAGAGGTCACAAACGGGTTTTGATTCCTTACCCGTACCCGTACCTGGCCACACCAGGGTCGCAAACGGGTACCCGTACGGCCAGGTACAGGTACCCGTTTGCGGGTACGGGTAGGATACGGGTACGGCCGGGTATGGGTACGGCCGGGTACGGGTACCCGTTTGCGACCCTGGTGTGGCCGGGTACGGGTACGGGTAAGGAATCAAAACCCGTTTGCGACCTCTGCACTACAGTGAAGCCGATGAAAGACGACAAAGTAACAGGAGCAGTACTGCCAAACGCCGGGAATGCAATTGTAATAAAGGTCGTGGAAGCGACTTCTGGAATCCGGTCTTTATTTGTCTTTCATTTACAACACTCCCATCTTACTCCTTCACGCTGCTGACAGACAGCGTGAGAGGGAGAGAGACACGTGCGGCCACGTGGCAGCCTGGACCCTGCTCCAGCGTGGCCTCACCCTCCGTTCGTTCCAGATCTGACCACGTGTTGTCCGTCTCCACCCCTTTTAATACCCGGGTCACGTGGTACCTTTCCACCAATCCTGGTTAACCTCTGTGGAATCTTCTAGACTCCATCGTACGTTCCCAGGACCACGCCCCTGACTCGTCCCCCCATTGGCTGTGGCTCAAGCCAGCAGATCCAATCCTCTACTTACAGATGTCACCTTCCCATTACGTCAGGGCCATGCCCCTAGACTTCCCCCCATTGGCTATGGGCCAGGACCGGCAGAGCCAATCATCGTAACGAGGTGTGATCCATCAGCAACCCGGATATATCCTCACATTACACAATTAACACAATCCATCAAGACCAGAATCCATCTTCTCGGTTGAAATTGTCTCTGTGTTTTACTATTTCCCTTCTACGTGACTTTACCAAAAGAACCAAGAATATGAATCCCTGCAGTCACGAAAGGTTTCATTCGAAATTTAATGTACAACGCTCGCCAATGTAAAACGCTCGCCAATGTACAACGCTCACTAATAACAACACTCGCTAATGCACGATTACCGCTAATATACGACCCATAAAAATTCAACACTCGCCAATATACCACACTCGCTAGTCAGAAGACTCACGCTCGCCAATATACAAAGCTCGCCAATTTACAATTCTCCCGATCATACAACGCTCGTCAATAAACAATGCTCCCTAATGTACAACACTCGCTAATATACAATGATCACTAATATGCAACAATTCCTACTCTACGACTCGCTAATATACAACGCTCACCATTGACAACACTGGCCAATGAGTGGGTGAGTGGGTGAATGAGTGATTGTTGAATGAGTGGGTGAGTGAGTGGGTGGCTGAGTGAATGAGTGGATGAGTGAGTGGGTGAGTGAGTGGGTGAGCGTGTGGGTGAGTGGGTGATTCAGTGGGTGGGTGTGTGAGTGAGTGGGTGGGTGAGTGGGTAAGTGAGTGAGTTGATTGGTGGGTGGGTGAGTGAGTTGTTGAGTGAGTGAGTGGGTGAGTGGCTCAGTGAGTGGGTGAGTGGATGGGTGATTGGGTGGGTGAATGGGTGAATGAGTGAGTGATAGCGTTGGTGGGTTGGTGAGTGAATTAGTGGGTGAGTGAGTGGTTCAGTGGGTGAACGAATGGGTGAGTGGATGAGCGTGTGGGTGAGTGGGTTATTGAGTGGGTGGGTGAGTAAGTGAGTGGGTGGGTGAGTGAGTGCGTGTGTGTGTGTGTGAGTGGGTGAGTGAGTGAGTGAGTGATTGGGTGGGTGAGTGTGTGTGTGAGTGGGTGAGTGAGTGAGTGAGTGGGTGAGTGTGTAGGTGGGTGGGTGAGTGAGTGGGTGAGTGTGTGGGTGGGTGAGTGAGTGAGTGAGTGAGTGGGTGAGTGAGTGAGTGAGTGGGTGAGTGAGTGAGTGGGTGGGTGGGTAGGTGGGTGAATGAGTGAGTGGGTGAGTGGGTGATTGAGTGAGTGTGTGAGTGAGTGGGCTATTGAGTGAGTGGATGAGTGATTGAGTGGGTGAGTGAGTGGGTGGGTGGGTAGGTGGGTGAATGAGTGAGTGGGTGAGTGGGTGATTGAGTGAGTGGGTGAGTGAGTGGGTTATTGAGTGAGTGGGTGAGTGAGTGAGTGAGTGGGTGAGTGAGTGGGTGGGTGGGTAGGTGGGTGAATGAGTGAGTGGGTGAGTGGGTGATTGAGTGAGTGGGTGAGTGAGTGGGTGAGTGAGTGAGTGGGTGAGTGAGTGGGTGAGTGAGTGAGTGAGTGGGTGAGTGAGTGGGTGGGTGGGTGGGTGAGTAAGTGAGTGAGTGAGTGAGTGGGTGAGTGAGTGGGTGGGTGGGTGGGTGAGTAAGTGAGTGAGTGAGTGGGTGAGTGAGTGGGTGAGTGAGTGAGTGGGTGAGTGAGTGAGTGGGTGGGTGGGTGGGTGAGTGGGTGGGTGGGTGAGTGAATGAGTGAGTGGGTGAGTGAGTGGGTGAGTGGGTGAGTGAATGAGTGGGTGAGTGAGTGGGTGAGTGAGTGGGTGGTTGAGTGAATGAGTGAGTGGGTGAGTGAGTGGGTGAGTGAGTGGGTGAGTGGTTGAGTGAGTGAGTGTGTGTGGGTGAGTGGGTGAGTGAGTGGGTGAGTGAGTGGGTTATTGAATGAGTGAGTGAGTGGGTGAGTGGGTGGGTGAGTGGGTGAGTGAGTGGGTGGGTGGGTGGGTGAGTGGGTGGGTGGGTGAGTGAATGAGTGAGTGGGTGAGTGAGTGGGTGAGTGGGAGAGTGAATGAGTGGGTGAGTGAGTGGGTGAGTGAGTGGGTGGTTGAGTGAATGAGTGAGTGAGTGGGTGAGTGAGTGGGTGAGTGAGTGGGTGAGTGGTTGAGTGAGTGAGTGTGTGTGGGTGAGTGGGTGAGTGAGTGGGTGAGTGAGTGGGTTATTGAATGAGTGAGTGAGTGGGTGAGTGGGTGGGAGGGTGGGTGGGTGGGTGAGTGAGTGAGTGGGTGAGTGAGTGAGTGGGTGAGTGAGTGGTTGGGTGAGTGAGTGGGTGAGTGGGTGAGTGAGTGGGAGAGTGAATGAGTGGGTGAGTGGGTGGTTGAGTGAATGAGTGAGTGGGTGGGTGAGTGAGTGGATGAGTGAATGAATGGGGGAGTGAGTGAGTGGTTGGGTGGGTGAGCGATTGAGTGTGTGGGTGAGCATGTGGGTGAGTGGGTGATTCAGTGGGTGGGTGAGTGAGTGAGTGGGTGAGTGAGTGAGTGAGTGGGTGAGTGAGTGAGTGAGTGAGTGAGTGAGTGGGTGAGTGAGTGGGTTATTGAATGAGTGAGTGAGTGGGTGAGTGAGTGGGTGAGTGAGTGAGTGAGTGGGTGAGTGGATGAGTGAGTGAGTGAGTGGGTGAGTGGGTGAGTGTGTGTGGGTGAGCAGGTGGGTGAGCAAGGGACGCTACCTGAGTTTCCGCTTTGCCGGCGCCGTTCACCTCGAGGAGGAAGCGGCGCCGGCGTGGGGGAGGCGGCGACTCCTTGGAGGAGTCTGTGACACGGTGAGACACGGGGAGACACGGTGAGACACGGGGAGACACGGTGAGACACGGGGAGACACGGTGAGATACGGGGAGACACGGTGAGACACGGGGAGACACGGTGAGACACGGTGAGACACGGGGAGACACGGGGGGACACGGGGAGACACGGTGAGACACGGGGAGACACGGGGGGACACGGGGAGACACGGTGAGACACGTTGAGAGACGGTGAGACACAGGGAGACACGATGAGACACGGTGAGACACGGTGAGACACGGGGAGACACGGTGAGACACGGGGAGACACGGTGAGACTCGGGGAGACACGGTGAGACACGTTGAGAGACGGTGAGACACAGGGAGACACGATGAGACACGGTGAGACACGGTGAGACACGGGGAGACACAGGGAGATACGGGGAGACACGGGGAGACACAGTGAGACACATTGAGACACGGTGAGACACGGTGATACACGGCGTAAGAAACCCACCCAACCACGGGGGATCTCGGTCTTTGTGTTTACCGAGGGCAGCGGCAGCCTGGTGCAGTGGGGAGCTGGGAGGCACGCAGTCGCTGGTTTCCGTCTTGCACACAGCTTCCCACACCTGCAACATCATCACCAACGTCACTAACATCATCACCAACGTCACCAACATCATCACCAACATCACTCACCTCACCACCATCACCACCAATATCACCATCATCACAGCAGCAGCCAGTGCTGTGTATTTACGACTGAAGCCACACACCTCACTCTCTCTCTCCCACCCCACGTGTTTCTGCACACAAAGACAAAGATCCCCCATGTAGCCTTAACAGACTGTTGGGGCAAGTGCTGTTAGCGAGCACCTATGAAGGCCGGAACGGAACACGAGGGGGTGGCTGGCCAGCAACCACGCACACGCACACACACATACATACACAATGACAACAACAACCGCCATTCGCCACTAAGTGGCGGTGACGTTACCACGACGCTTGTGCCAGGCCAAGTGCACCTTGAGGCCACGTGAAGTGTCGAACGCCCGCTGGCAGGAGGTCACGGGGCAGACCCAGTAGGTGCCACGGGTCGACTGACCGAGATGACCGAGATGACTGGCTGATGCACCACCTGTGCCCCCTACTGTACCAACTTGCTGTGCTTTAGCCACCCGGCACACCGCTCATTGTTGTGAGTGTCGCTCCTCCGCCCTCCGTTGTTGTTGGAGGGCGACTGCCTCCAAATAGCCAGTAGCGTCCTTCACGAGCCTCCTCCACTGAGGCCGATCTTGATACCGCTGGTACCAGTCATCGGCAAGTCCACTCAGCTCCACGTCCTCCTGTACCACATCACTCCATCTCTTCTCTAGCCCGTGCCGCGCCCGTTTAGCCCCCTCGATCCGGCCAAACAAAAGCTGTTTAGACATGCGGTGGCTGTGCGTGCGGGCTACATGACCCAGCCAACGCAGCATTGCCTGCCGGAGGAGCTCACCGATGGGACTTTGCCCAGATCTTTCAAGGATTTGTGAGCTCCTCACACAATCCAGCCTGCAGGTTAAACCCAGGATGGATCGTAGGCAGGCCAGCCTAAATGTTTCCAACCGGCGAAGATGCTCCATTAGGGGGGTCCACGTTTCGCAAGCATAGAGAAGGGAAGGAATGACCGTGGCCGAGAAGACCTGAAGCTTCATGCGGAGCGACTGACCAGGTAGCTTTCACACAGCATCACGCAACCGATGAAAAGATAATGCCGCTCGACTGATTCAGAGTGAGACCTCTGCTGTCAAACCAGAGCCGGTCATGAGCACACTGCCCAGGTATGGGAAACTCTCCACTCTCTCCACAAATGCCCCATCACCAACTGGGAGTTGTGGCGGTGGAGTGTCCGATGGTACAAAATACCCAGGCATGTGCTTAGTTTTGGTGGGGCTGATGGTAAGGCCCCACCTCTTAGTGGCATGCTCCAGGTTCAGCAGCAGCACATCCAACTCCTCCTCTGAGTGAGCAGCAATTACCAAATCATTGGCATACATAACATGGTTGAGCAATAGGGAGCCAACCCTTGACCGCACCCGGGCATCGATCAGCCTCCCATTGTATCTGTACCAGATGGAAATTCCTCCGGTACAGCCATCGAAGGCTTCACGAACTACGTGGTCGAAATAGATGTTAAATCATGTGGGAGCCAGAGGACATCCCTGTTGCACCCCAAGGTGTACAGGGAATGGCTCCTATTCCCAGCCACGTAGTTTTACCCGGGCCCGCTCACCATCATGAAGGTCCTCAATGATCATGAACAGAGGGTCAGGGACTCCGAAAGCACGAAGAACAACCCAGAGCCCAGGCCTACTGATGGTATCATAGGCCTTGACCAGGTCAATAAAGCAGAGATGTAGGTCTTGTTGGAATTCCCTACGCCTCTGCTGTAGCAGACGGACAAAAAATATGGCATCTGTGCAGGACCGCCCTTTCCTGAAACCGCATTGGGGCTCCGCAAGCCTCTCCTCAGCGTGCCTAGCAAGGCGATGTTGGATAATCCTTGCCAGGACCTTTTCTGGCACACTGAGGAATGAGATACCCCTGTAGTTGTTACAGTCTGTGCGGTCCCCCTTCTTAAAAAGGGGGACCACCAGGGCATCCTTCCAATCCTGCGGAACCCATCCAGTGGTCCAGACTGTTGTTATGATGTCATGTCGGGCAGCCTGTGCACAAACGCCACCCTCCCTCAGCATTTCGCTTGGGATATCATCTCTGCCCGGTGCCTTTCCTGGTCTCAGACTCTGGATCGCCTTCAGTACTTCCTCAACAGATGGCACCTCAGCCAGCCACTCACAGGGGGTGACTTCTTCTTCCAATATTTTATATCATCAGGAGCATCACCACCATCAACCACCATCACCAGGACCATCACCATCATCAACAACCATCACCAGGACCATCACCATCATCAACTACCATCACCAGCACCATCACCATCATCAATTACCATCACCAGGACCATCACCATCATCAACCACCATCACCATCATCAACTACCATCACCAGCACCATCACCATCATCAATTACCATCACCAGGACCATCACCATCGTCAACTACCATCACCATCATCAACCACCATCACCAGGACCATCACCATAATCAACCACCATCACCAGGACCATCACCATCATCAACTACCATCACCAGGACCATCACCATCATCAACCACCATCACCAGGACCATCACCATCATCAACCACCATCACCAGGACCATCACCATCATCAACTACCATCACCAGGACCATCACCATCATCAACTACCATCACCAGGACCATCACCATCATCAACTACCATCACCAGGACCATCATCATCAACTACCATCACCAGGACCATCACCATCATCAACTACCATCACCAGGACCATCACCATCATCAACCACCATCACCATCACCAACTACCATCACCAGGACCATCACCATCATCAACTACCATCACCAGGACCATCACCATCACCAACCACCATCACCAGGACCATCACCAGGACCATCACCACCATCAACCACCATCACCAGGACCATCACCATCATCAACTACCATCACCAGGACCATCACCACCACCAACCACCATCACCAGGACCATCACCATCGTCAACCACCATCACCAGGACCATCACCATCACCAGGACCATCACCATCATCAACCACCATCACCATCACCAGGACCATCACCACCATCAACTACCATCACCATCACCAGACCATCACCATCATCAACCACCATCACCAGGACCATCACCATCACCAGGGCCATCACCATCATCACCAGGACCATCGTCTGATGGTGGTTGACGATGATGATGGTTCTGGTGACGATGGTTCTGGTGACGATGGTTCTGGTGACGATGGTTCTGGTGACGATGGTTCTGGTGATGATGGTGACGATGGTGATGGACCGGGTGATGGTTGACGACCATCACTCACCGAAGCACACAACATCATCATTACCACACACACACACACGAGCCCCCGCGTGAACCATCAACAGAGGAAGGCCCTCGCCTGTGAAGGCTCTAACAGACTGTTGGGGCCAGCCCTGCTGTGAAGGCCGGCACGGCACACGAGGGGGTGGCGGTGTTTACTTCACACCGCACCAGGTACTCATTTGAGGCTGAGTCGACCTAGGGGAGGCCCAGGACCGGTTCAGATCATTGTTGCCGGTGGTGTTGGCCGTGAGCGGGAATCAAACCAAGTACACACACCAACATCACCACACACCACATCAACATCACACAACCCACTCAAACATCACCACACACCACATCAACATCACACAAACATCACACAAACATCACCACACACCACATCACCATCACACCAACATCACCACACACCACATCACCATCACACAACCCACACAAACATCACCACACACCACATCACCATCACACAACCCACACAAACATCACCACACACCACACCAACATCACACAAACATTCACACACACACCGCATTACACAAACATCACCATCACACAAACATTCACACACACACCACATCAACATCACACAACCCACACCAACATCACCACACACCACATCAACATCACACAACCCACACAAACATCACCACACACCACATCACCACACACACACATTCACACACACACCGCATTACACAAATATCACCACAAACTACATCACCATCACACAACCCACACAAACATCACCACACACCACATCACCATCACAAACATTCACACACACACACCGCATTACACAAACATCACCACACACCACATCACTACCACACACCACATCACCATCACACAACCCACACAAACATCACCACACACATCACCATCACACAAACATTCACACACACACAACTCACAAACATCACCACACACCACATCAACATCACACAATCCACACAAACATCACCACACACCACATCAACATCACACAAACATTCACACACACACACCGCATTACACAAACATCACCATCACACAAACATTCACACCAACACGACCAAAACACCGCCCTTGTCAGCACCACACTCGCCATCCTCCCATCCCTCGCTCAGTCACTCAGTCAGTCACTCCGTCACTCACCCACTCACTCACTCAGTCACTCACCCACTCACTCACTCAGTCACTCACCCACTCACTCACTCAGTCACTCACCCACTCACTCACTCAGTCACTCACTCAGTCAGTCACTCACCCACTCACTTACTCAGTCACTCAGTCAGTCAGTCACTCACTCACTCAGTCACTCACTCACTCACTCAGTCACCCACTCAGTCACTCAGTCAGTCACTCAGCCACTCACTCAGTCAGTCAGTCACTCAGTCAGTCAGTCACTCACCCAGTAACTCACTCACTCAGTCACCCACTCAGTCACTCACTCAGGCAGTCACTCAGTCAGTCACTCAGTCACCCAGTCACTCAACTCAGTCACTCACCCAGTCACTCACTCAGTCACCCACCCACCCACCCACTCACCCACCCACCCACTCACCCACCCACCCACCCACCCACTCACCCACCCACCCACTCACCCACTCACCCACCCACCCACCCACTCACCCACCCACTCACCCACCCACCCACCCACTCATCCACTCACCCACCCACCCACTCATCCACTCACCCACTCACCCACTCACCCACCCACCCACTCACCCACCCACCCACCCACTCACCCACCCACCCACTCACCCACCCACCCACCCACTCACCCACCCACCACCCACCCACTCACCCACCCACCCACCCACTCACCCACCCACCCACCCACTCACCCACCCACCCACTCACCCACCCACCCACTCACCCACCCACCCACCCACTCACCCACCCACCCACTCACCCACCCACCCACCCACTCACCCACCCACCCACCCACTCACCCACCCACCCACCCACTCACCCACCCACCCACCCACTCACCCACCCACCCCCCACCCACCCACCCACTCACCCACCCCACCCACCCACTCACTCACTCACTCACTCACCCACCCACCCACTCACCCACCCACCCACCACTCACCCACCCACCCACTCACCCACCCACCCACCCACCCACTCACCCACCCACCCACTCACCCACACACCCACTCACCCACACACCCACTCACCCACCCACCCACCCACTCACTCACTCACTCACCCACCCACCCACCCACTCACCCACCCACTCACCCACTCACTCACTCACCCACCCACCCACTCACCCACCCACCCACTCACCCACCCCCACCCACCCACTCACCCACCCACCCACTCACCCACTCACCCACCCACTCACCCACCCACTCACCAACTCACCCACCCACTCACCCACCCACTCACCCACCCACTCACCCACCCACCCACTCACCCACTCACCCACCCACTCACCCACTCACCCACCCACTCACCCACTCCCCCACCCACTCACTCACCCACCCACCCACCACTCACCCACCCACTCACTCACTCACCACCCACCCACTCACTCACTCACCCACCCACCCACTCACCACCCACCCACCCACTCACCCACCCACTCACCAACTCACCCACCCACTCACCCACCCACTCACCCACCCACTCACCCACCCACCCACTCACCCACTCACCCACCCACTCACCCACTCACCCACCCACTCACCCACTCCCCCACCCACTCACTCACCCACCCACCCACTCACCCACCCACTCACTCACTCACCCACCCACCCACCCACTCACTCACTCACCCACCCACCCACTCACTCACCCACCCACTCACTCACCCACCCACTCACTCACGCACCCACTCACTCACCCACCCACCCACCCACTCACCCACTCACCCACCCACTCACCCACCCACCCACTCACCCACTCACCTGCTCGCCACTAGAGGCCGCCATCTCGGCAGGAAGTTTCCTCTTGAGCGGTCTGGCCGGCTTGCGGCTGCGCTTCTCTCTCTCGCCGTCTCCCATCGCGACTACAGACGTCGCTACTGCAGACTGTAGCTACTGTAGCTACTAGACTGTAGCTACTATAGACTGTAGCTACTACACACTGTAGCTACTGTAGCTACTAGACTGTAGCTACTACAGCCGTCACTGTTATAGACTGTAGCTACTACAGACGTCACTACTACAGACTGTAGCTGTTATAGACTGTAGATGTTATAGACTGTAGCTACTACAGACGTCGCTACTGCAGACTGTAGCTACTGTAGCTACTAGACTGTAGCTACTACAGCCGTCACTGTTATAGACTGTAGCTGTTATAGACTGTAGCAGTTATAGACTGTAGCTACTACAGACTGTAGCTACTACAGACTGTAGCTACTACAGACGTCACTACTATAGACTGTAGCTGTTATAGACTGTAGCAGTTATAGACTGTAGCTACTACAGACTGTAGCTACTACAGACTGTAGCTACTGTAGCTACTACAGACTGTAGCTACTACAGACTGTAGCTGTTATAGACTGTAGCTGTTATAGACTGTAGCTGTTATAGACTGTAGCTACTACAGACTGTAGCTACTACAGACTGTAGCTACTGTAGCTACTACAGACTAGCTACTATAGACTGTAGCTACTACAGACTGTAGCTGCTATAGACTGTAGTTACTATAGACTGTAGTTACTACAGACTGTAGCTACTATAGACTGTAGCTACTATAGACTGTAGCTACTATAGACTGTAGATACTATAGACTGTAGCTATTATAACTGTAGCTACTATAGACTGTAGCTACTACAAACTGTAGCTACTACAGACTGTAGCTACTATAGACTGTAGCTATTATAACTGTAGCTACTATAGACTGTAGCTACTACAGACTGTAGCTACTACAGACTGTAGCTACTATAGACTGTAGCTATTATAACTGTAGCTACTATAGACTGTATCTACTATAGACTGTAGCTACTATAGACTGTAGCTATTATAACTGTAGCTACTATAGACTGTAGCTGTTATAGCGACTGTCGATGGGCAGAATCAGCAGCTGCCCCTCTTGCCCGTCTGTTGCTTCTCCTGCTGATGATGATGATGTTGCTGTTACTGCTGATGATGATGCTGCTGATGATGATGTTGCTGCTGCTGGTGGTGATGGTGCTGATGATGTTGCTGCTGCTGATTATTGTGTTGATGCTACTCTCTTATGATGATGTTGCTCCTGCTGATGATGATGTTGCTGCTGGTGGTGATGGTGCTGATGACGCTGTTGATTGTGTTGATGCTGCTCTCTTATGATGATGTTGGTGGTGGTGATGTTGGTGGTGCTGTTGCTGATGACGATGTTGCTGCTGATGTTGCTGCTGATGTTGCTGCTGATGATGTTGCTGATGATGCTGCTGCTGATGATGTTGCTGATGATGTTGCTGATGATGTTGCTGATGATGTTGCTGATGATGTTGCTGATGATGTTGCTGCTGATGATGATGTTGCTTCTGATGTTACTGCTGCTGATGATGTTGTTGCTGATGATGTTGCCGCTGATGATGTTGTTGCTGCTGATGATGTTGTTGCTGCTGCTGATGATGTTGCTGCTGCTGCTGATGATGTTGCTGCTGATGATGATGTTGCTTCTGTTGTTGTTGCTGCTGCTGATGACGATGATATTCGGACTGGTCCCGGCTGCAGCTCCGCTTGGTGTGGCGCTGAGAGGCGGCGCCTCTCAGTGAGAGTGGAGAGGGGGGAGGGGCGAGAGGGGGAGGGGGGGAGGAGGAGTCGTGATGGAGGGGGAGGGGTGGAGGGGAGGGGTGGAGGGGTGGAGGGGAGGGGTGGAGGGGAGGGGTGGAGGGGTGGAGGGGAGGGTGGAGGGGAGGGGTGGAGGGGAGGGTGGAGGGGAGGGTGGAGGGAGGGTGGAGGGGAGGGGAGGGAGAGATCGGGTTCCGTCTGTGTGTATGTGTGTGTACGTGGTGTGTGTGTGTACGTGGTGTGTGTGTGTACGTGGTGTGTGTGTACGTGGTGTGTGTGTGTACGTGGTGTGTGTGTGTACGTGGTGTGTGTGTGTACGTGGTGTGTGTACGTGGTGTGTGTGTACGTGGTGTGTGTGTACGTGGTGTGTGTGTACGTTGGTGTGTGTACGTGGTGTGTGTGTGTACGTGGGTGTGTGTGTACGTGGTGTGTTGTGTACGTGGTGTGTGTGTACGTGGTGTGTGTGACGTGGTGTGTGTGTGTACGTGGTGTGTGTGTACGTGGTGTGTGTGTACGTGGTGTGTGTGTGTGCGTGGTGTGTGTGTGTACGTGGTGTGTGTGTACGTGGTGTGTGTGTACGTGGTGTGTGTGTGTACATGGTGTGTGTGTGTGTACGTGGTGTGTGTGTACATGGTGTGTGTGTGTACGTGGTGTGTGTGTACGTGGTGTGTGTGTACGTGGCGTGTGTATGTGTGTGTACTTGGTGTGTGTGTGTGGTGTGTGTATGTGTGTGTACATGGTGTGTGTGTGTACATGGTGTGTGTACATGCTGTGTGTGTGTACGTGGTGTGTGTGTACGTGGTGTGTGTACGTGGTGTGTGTGTACATGGTGTGTGTGTGTGTACGTGGTGTGTGTGTGTGTACATGGTGTGTGTGTGTGTACGTGGTGTGTGTGTACGTGGTGTGTGTACGTGGTGTGTGTACATGGTGTGTGTGTGTACGTGGTGTGTGTGTGTACGTGGTGTGTGTGTGTGTGTGTACATGGTGTGTGTGTGTGTACATGGTGTGTGTGTGTGCATGGTGTTTGTGTGTGTATGGTGTGTGTGTGTACATGGTGTGTGTGTGTACGTGGTGTGTGTGTACATGGTGTGTGTGTGTACGTGGTGTGTGTGTGTACATGGTGTGTGTGTGTGCATGGTGTGTGTGTGTACATGGTGTGTGTGGTGTACATGGTGTGTGTGTTACGTGGCTGTGTGTGTGTACATGGTGTGTGGTGTGTACGTGGTGTGTGTGTGTACATGGTGTGTGTGTACATGGTGTGTGTGTACTTGGGTGTGTGTGTACGTGGTGTGTGTGTGTACATGGTGTGTGTGTGTACGTGGTGTGTGTGTACATGGTGTGTGTGTGTACGTGGTGTGTGTGTGTGTGTAACTGGTGTGTGTGTGTGTACGTGGTGTGTGTGTACATGGTTGTGTTTGGTGTAGTGGTGTGTAGTGTGCATGGTGTGTGTGTACATGGTGTGTGTACGTGGGTTTGTGTGTACGTGGTGTGTGTGTACATGGTGTGTGTGTGTGTACGTGGTGTGTGTGTACATGGTGTGTGTGTACATGGTGTGTGTGTGTACGTGGTGTGTGTGTACGTGGTTGTGTGTGTACATGGTGTGTGTGTACATGGTGTGTGTGTGTACGTGGTGTGTGTGTGTACGTGGTGTGTGTGTACATGGTGTGTGTGTGTACATGGTGTGTGTGTACATGGTGTGTGTGTACATGGTGTGTGTGTGTACGTGGTGTGTGTGTACATGTGTGTGTATACGTGGTGTGTGTGTACGTGGTGTGTGTGTGTGTGTACGTGGTGTGTGTGTACATGGTGTGTGTACGTGGTGTGTGTGTACGTGGTGTGTGTGTACATGGTGTGTGTGTGTGTACATGGTGTGTGTGTGTACTTGGTGTGTGTGTGTACTTGGTGTGTGTGTGTATGTGGTGTGTGTGTACATGGTGTGTGTGTACTTGGTGTGTGTGTGTACGTGGTGTGTGTGTGTGTACGTGGTGTGTGTGTACATGGGTGTGTGTACTTGGTGTGTGTGTGTACGTGGTGTGTGTGTACATGGTGTGTGTGTACATGGTGTGTGTGTGTACGTGGTGTTGTGTGTACGTGGTGGTGTGTGTACATGCTGTGTGTGTAACATGGTGTGTGTGTGTGTACTTGGTGTGTGTGTACGTGGTGTGTGTGTACATGGTGTGTGTGTACTTGGTGTGTGTGTGTACGTGGTGTGTGTGTACATGGTGTGTGTGTACATGGTGTGTGTGTGTACATGGTGTGTGTACGTGGTGTGTATGTGTACATGGTGTGTGTGTGCATGGTGTGTGTGTGGTGTGTACATGGTGTGTGTGTACGTGTGTGTGTGTGTGTGTGTACGTGGTGTGCTGTGTACGTGGTGTGTGTGTTGTGTGTACGTGGTGTGTGGTGTGTGTGTACGTGGTGTGTGTGTACATGGTGTATGTGTACGTGTGTGTACATGGTGTGTTGTGTACATGACGTGGTGTGTGGTGTTACGTGGTGTGTGTGTGTACGTGGTGTGTGTTGTGTAACAGGTGTGTTGTACGGTGGTGTGTGTGTGTACGTGGTGTGTGTGTGTACGTTGGTGTGGTGTGTGTACATGGTGTGTGTGTACATGGTGTGTGTGTACGTGGTGTGTGTGTGTACATGGTGTGTGTGTGTACGTGGGGTGTGTGTATATGGTGTGTGTGTGTGTACAAGGTGTGTGTGTGTACATGGGTGTGTACATGGTGTGTGTGTACGTGGTGTGTGTACATGGTGTGTGTGTGTACATGGTGTGTGTTGTACATGGTGGTGTGTACATGGTTGTGTGTGTACATTGGTGTGTACATGGTGTGTGTGTGCATGATGTGTGTGTACATGGTGTGTGTAGTACATGGTGTGTGTGTGTGTGCATGGTGTGTGTGTGTACATGGGTGTGTGTGTGTACATGGTGGTGTGTGTATATGGTGTGTGTGTGTACGTGTGTGTGTGTGTACCTGGTGTGTGTTTACATGGTTGTGGGTGTGTGTACGTGGTGTGTGTGTGTGCATGGTGTGTGTGTGTGCATGGTGTGGTGTGTACATGGTGTGTGTGTGTACATGGTGTGTGTGTACATGGTGTGTGTGTGTGCATGGTGTGTGTGTGTGCATGGTGTGTGTGTGTACATGGTGTGTGTGTGTACATGGTGTGTGTGTACGTGGTGTGTGTGTACTTGCTGTGTGTGTGTACATGGTGTGTGTGTGTACGTGGTGTGTGTGTGTACATGGTGTGTGTGTACTTGCTGTGTGTGTGTGTGTACTTGGTGAGCTGGGGAGCGGTGGTGCAGCGGTTAGCGCGTTGCGCTACGAACTCGGCGACCCGAGTTCGATTCCCGCTCACGGCCAATAGGCCCTGGACCTCCCCTAGGTCGACTCAGCCTCAAATGAGTACGTGGTGCTGTGTGTAAAAACATCGCCACTGGGGAGACAAAGGCGGTCGGGCGTGGTGGTGGTGACCACCCACCCCCTCGTGTACCGTGCCGGCCTTCATAGGTGCTATCTCGCTCACAGCACTTGCCCCAACAGTGTGTGAAGGCTACACGGGACGTCTTTGTCTTTGTGTGTACTTGACGTGTCTGTGTGTGTGGGGGGGTCTGGTTTTGATGCGCGTGTGGATGGGGGTGTGTGAAGGATTGGGTTTAGGGTGTGTGTTAGTCTGTGTGTTAGTCTGTGTGTGTGCATGAGTGTGTGTCTGAGTGGGTGTGTCTGTGTGTGTGTCTGAGTGTTTATCTGTAGTGTGTCTGTGTGTGTCTGAGTGTGTGTGTGTGTCTGAGGGTTTGTTTATCTGTATTGTGTGTCTGAGTGTCTGTGTGTGTGTCTGTGTGTGTGTCTGAGTGTGTGTGTCTGTGTGTGTGTGTCTGTGTGTGTCTGCGTGTTTGTTTATCTGTATTGTGTGTCTGAGTGTCTGTGTCTGTGTGTGTGTGTCTGTGTGTGTGTCTGAGTGTGTGTGTGTCTGTGTGTGTGGGGAGCGGTAGTCTGTGTGTGTGGGGAGCGGTAGTGTAGCGGTTAGCGCGCTGCGCTATGAACCTGGCGACCCGGGTTCGATTCCCGCTCACGGCTAACACCAGTGACGATTATCTGAACCGGTCCTGGGCCCCCCTTAGGTCGACTCAGCCTTAAATGA